ACGGTGTTGGGCAAGTTCCAAAGCAAGCCGAAGTCTTTGGTAAGGTCGCTCCCGCATATTGCAATCGGAATTTGACCCAGCTGAACGGACTCTCCCATGATGACCCCTTCGACATCTTCGAAAAGGGCTACGTGTGAAGACCCTTGCGGGTTCTTCGGTCCGCTGCGTGGACCGGAATTTTCGGAACTGAAGAGGCTTTGGCCAATTTGATTGCTTGAAGGTTCTCAGCCTTTGGGACAGAAGATGGCCCGCTGAAAACGGCGAGCAATCGACAACCTTAGGAAGTGACTTCGGGCACAAATGTGTTTGCAAAGTGAAAAGGATGTCTTACTGTATGATTCGAGGAGTATTTGAAGAATGAAGTTTCGCGTGCGAGGTCGTGGATCTATGACGAGAACCAGCCTTCTGACTCTTTTTCGCTAAAGCAAATCCTGGAAGCACAAAAACAAGCCCAAGCCCCAAAGCCCCTTAAAACAAAGCTCTGCTTACGAACACCTTCACGCTACATTCCGCACATGCAGTGCCTCAGCTCCTGATCCTTGAACCCTCTATAAGGGTTCGCGGGTTTGGGGTTTCAGGAAGTCTTTTCTGTAGCCCTAAGAGCACAAACAAGCCAGAACCAGAAAGCGAAACAGCCGAAATTGAAAGGCCTAAACCCCAAGCCCTCAAACCCGCATCCTTTGACCCTAAAACCCCAACCCCAAACCCCTTGTAAAACCCTAGTAGAAGCTTGGTAGCTACAACAAACTCCGCTAAAAACCTGGTGGAGAAAATGCTGCAGAACGGCTTTCCGGTTTCGAGCTTTCGCGGTCCGCCCAACGATCCCGATTTGAGGACCCTAATTTAAGACCCTGAACCCGAGCCCCGAAACCGCCCTAAGCTTCGGCCCAAGGCTACGGATGGGAGCAGAGCGCTTACATTGAGTCGGAGGCCCTTGATATGTCAGTGCTCTATCACTTTATTTGTCAGGGTTTATGCTGCATTGAGCTGACGGGAGTTCTCAAGGTTTAGGGTTTACGGTGTTCAAGAGCTTCCTTTGAGTAAGTTTGAATCGGGCTTTTGGGGTTCAGGAATTCCCAACCTGTAGTCCATAGACAGCTAGAGCCCGGGCCTCCAAGTCTTCCATCCGTCCATATGCGTACAGCTCTTACATATCAACCTGTAGAACCATCCATCCATAACATAGATAGCCCTAAGTACTGGCGGATCCACAAACATACGGCGCTGCCCATTTGTTGGAATTTACGATGGATCTCGTTTGCGGCTCGAGCCACGTTTTGGCATTTACAATGGATACTGTACCGCTTTGCTCGTGCCGACCCCCACCCCAAGCGGATGCGGAGCACCACACGGCCCATTTGTTGAAATTTACAAGAGATCGCGCTTGTGGCAATGTCTCCGGCATAGTCAGGATCGCTTCAAAATTCCGATTCCGAACTGCTGAACGCGATTTACACATCGCAAGCTGAAAGCCGTCGAGGCACTACACGCACAGCCCCATGTCGCATGCCCACGCCATCCGGACATGCCGCGAGTGTTGGAATTTATGAAGAAGCGCACCGACCCCAACCAGCTGAGACGCCGGGCCTACATAGAGGGTTGTCAGTCCAGAAACTTCGCGATGCGCGATACTTGTTGTTTACATTGAATCGCACCTCCAACAACAGAAAACGAGCGCGGCATGGTGTAAATACTATTACGAAGTGCTCCGTGTGTTGAAATGTACACGAGATTGCGCCGTTCGGACGAAGGAGACATGCGCTCCCAGAGCGGAGGGCCAAGAAGTCGTGCATGTTGGATTTTGCGAAGCATCGTGCCGATCTCACCACGTGCCGATTGTGATTTTCGATGGATCGGGCGGGCATCGGCGCCGATTAAAGTCAGTGACTCACATGACATCATATCATCAGATCATAAAAGCGCAAGTACCTCCGCTGAAAATCCCTTCGCCAACGTTTTCGGGAAGAACCGATAGTCTAGTGCTCCCAGAAGCAACGCAGCGAGGGTGGAGAAGCTCAGATTTGGGACCTCGGTTGTCGGGGGCTTCGGTTCCGGTTTGGTCATTGGTTTAGGGTGCATTGCGGGTTTAAGGTTCAGGGTGCTTCATGATTTGTCCCGATTTTTGATCCTAGTTGAATGCTACTTGAATACGATCTGATGTCCATCACCGGAATAGCAGCAAAGTGGGATGGCGTCGTCGACAGACATTGTGACAACCCAAAATGCACTGTTTCAGCTTAAGGTCTACAGTTTAGGGTTCGCGAACAAGCATCCCCGACAAGCTGTGATAGGCAATGTGACATATCTGTTCTGCTTTTACAGAAGCCATGGAGCTCCAAATCCTAAAGCCTGAGCCCAAAGACGAAACCACGCCCCACGAAGGTCTATGCTAAATTCAAACCCTGAATTCCTTAACCCTAACTTCATCAAGTTATAAATCCGAACACTTATGGAACTTGCAGCAAACCCTTTAGTGAACTTCCGCATAAACCTTCCGGTGCTATAGCACGCTGATGAAGGTCGCATGGGCAAGTTTTCCATGGACTGCTCGCTGAGCAACCGCCTCTCCGGTTATCCTTCCCCTTTGTCTGTGCGATCCACAAGCATGTACAAATGTCGCCTGCACTGAAGGCTTCGATTTGCAGGGACCTTCGAACAGGCTTTCATCGATAATGTATGCACGTGCACACACACACACATATATATATGCCTATATATATATATATCTATATATATATAGATGTTGCTATGTATGTGTGTATATATGGACAGATTAAATACATCTGCAAAATACCCTCTCTAGATCTACAGGGGCGGTTCCTGCCGTTTCGAAGTCTTCCAAGTGATGGCATGTTCTCCGCAGCAGGGCGTGTGAAATCCCAGCGAAAAAATTCAGGGTTTAACAGGCTGTAGTCTGCAAGGTAGGTGTTTTGCGTCATCCGGTTGGGGTTGGAGTTGGTGTTTTGGGCTTTCGGGTGCAGGGCTTGTCCGGCGGTTGAGATTTTCACAGTGATTCAGGGCGTTGGGTGGAGATGTGGCTATTGGATTTCTGGTTGTCTATTGGGGTTTGGGCTTGCCGAGTTTTAGGTGCTGGGCTATGGGGGCTGCAGGATTTCGGGTGCCTTTCGAAAGCCCACTGACATGGCATACGCAACAGGAGCGTGTTAGTGTCATGACATCCGGCGCTGTTATTCTCCTGAATGGCGGTGAGCTGCCCAGCCTTCATACTGTACATTGTACATTGCGAAAGTATTGCAAACTGTAAACACGTAGAGACAAGCCCTAAACCCGGCCCTACCCACAAACTCGAGACTCCCGAATGCCCAAATAAGCTGTTCAGGATCACTAAACCCATTCCCTGAGGATGAACAGCAGGAGAAGCCAGCGGTGTGCTAAACTGTGCTAGAAAAGAGATCTTCTTTCTACACTGTCTGGTATTTCCCGAGACGGAACAACACAGAAGATGCCAGTGATGGTTCGGCTGAGCCATGCTGCTGCCCAAGATGGCTGAGAGCTCGGCCAGGAATGCAGCAGTCTCAAAGGCGTTACCGTAAACCCAGTGAGCCCTGAACTCTGAACCCGAATCGTTGGCAAAGGCGTATAGGATCTCATCGCGCCAACATATGGAGCAGTGTCCTTCCAACCATGCAGGCCTCAGTAAGGCTTAAACACCAAAATCCCAAACCCTTCGAACGCTGCTTCCAACAATTCGAGAAGGTGTATTACGCGGAATCGAACCCTTGAAAGGGTTCAATATAATTATAAGGAGTTGCTGCTTGGGTTGGGGCTTTTAGGGTTTAGGGTTGAGGGCTTAAGGTTTTAGGACCACGAGGGGCCCGTTCACTAATCCTTTTGATATATTGGGATGGCAAGCACCATCTACGGAACCTTCTGCAATTATCTACGATTGACAGCGGCCGTAGCCCTGATAGATCCTTATGTGATGTTCGGAGTGCAAGCATGATCACCAGAATTGTCATTCAGTATGTAAGGGGTACCTCACAATTGGGTCTGGACATAAGGGTTTTGGCACCCCGGGCTGTAGAATGTAAGATAGCGAATCGTGTCGGCCTAAGGTTACTTGACCTTCCTGAACCTGCAACTGCTGGAAAATGCCCTAAAACCCCAAACCGGCCTGAAAAAGCTCTGAAGCTCTCTAAAGCTCTAAAGCACCCTAAACCCCTTGAAGAGCGGCATACTATGGCTCTCCTAAACGATGCTTCGAGAGAGGCCACCCGCCCTCGGCAAGGCAGAGCTTTTACCCTCTGAGATCCCTCTATACCGTATACCTTAATTAACCAGTGTTTTTGAAGGCCCCTTTTTCATTCATTCTATACTGACTGAGGGATATTGGGATCTGTGGGTAAGCGGGGGTTGCGAGGGGTGGAGGCTTTTCTGGGGCTCTGAAGTATCGAACGGCATAGGGCTTTTTCAACAGACTTAAAGCCTCCACACCCTGAGCCCTTAATGTAGGAACCTGATTAAGAAACCTTGGGCCTTGATATTAGGGTTCCTTATATGAATCCTACTAGGGTACAGTGTCTTCGACAGGCGCAGACAGCTAATGTCAGTTGCGTTTTCATGTTTGAACACGTGCAACTCCTGATTTCGATCATTCGAAGTGTGATTGAACAAACCTGCGTTATCCACTGCCCAGATATTTTCTCGCCGCAAACCGTTAGCAAGGGTTTTCCATACCACGTGAATCTAATCTAGTTTCCAGCCTTTTCATTTCATGTCTCGTGGTGATATTTGTGATCTTTCTGAGCAGGTCCCACTGTGACGAGGCTGTGCGACAAGGTTCATCCAGCAGCATCGACAATGGCTTCAAAGTTTCGTGTGACTTTTCGGTACGGTGAAAAAGTTCGTTGTGATGGTTTCCTGCAAAGTCTTGGGTTCACACAACGACATTCTGAATTGCGATCAGCCGGCTTGTGCTTGTGCCCGTTGGCTAAGATCTCCTCATTGCCTTACAGAGGAAACACAGTTTACCCCGCAGAATGAGCGCTCGTTCGACTTTCCCTTCGCTTTCTTGTGTGCATGTGTGTGCCTATGTTGACAATTTCGCGATGCTGAGATGGTACGCCTGTGCAAGGCCAAAGCAGGCAGGAGGTCAGCTCGGCAAGAAAATGGAAAGATTACGGGTGGCTGCGAGATTTTTGTAGGCTACACTAGGAAAACCTAGGTAGGTAGCTTCAGTGTAGAGAGTGAGGGTTTGAGCCAAACGTGCTTAACTGACTTCTGCAGCCCTCTTTTCAGAGTGACAAAATAGTGAGCCCAATACGCGACCCTACCTCCGCGCATGGTAGCGGAGCTGGTTCGGTAGGCCCCGACGCTCCAAGGGTGCGCGGGCCGAACCGCCACCCATCAGCCGCCACGTCCGAGTGGTGGGGCTGGTGGGACTGGGACTCCGACTGGAGTTCCCAGGAGGAGGCTCCTTCCAGCCAGGCACCACAGGGTGCCAAGGGGAGCGGAGCCGCTGAAGCTCCAGCTCGACCGCGCCGCCCTCTCATAGGCGAGCGCACAGAAGCCCCTAACCAAAACCGGGGCAGAACAGCCGAGCCCGAAAAGGGCAAAGGCAAAACCGGCCCGAGTGCGGGTCGCCCCGCCTCGGAGTCGGGGAGCCGAACCCCCCGCCGAGGGGAAAAGGGAGCAGGGAAGCCCACCAAGGGCAAGCCTGCCAAAGGAGCTGCGCAGCCCGCCAAGGGCAAGGCAGCCCAAGCTAAGGGAGCAGAGCAGCCCGCGAAGGGCAAGCCAGCTCCAGCAGGCAAGTCCGGAAAGGGAAAGCCTGCGGCCCAGGAGCCCGCGCAAGGGTCTGAGAAGAAGAAGAACCACCGAGGTGGTCGTTCCCAAGCGGCCCGCGCCACCCGCGAGGCCCGGCGCCGAGAGGCGCGAAAGAGAGGGTACAGACCCGGTCGTCCTCAGAGAGGGCCCGGGGACTGATATCCCAGAGCCGCGCACCGCGGAGGAAACTGAGGAAGGTGCCGGCCAGGTGATTCAAAGCCCCAGCTCTGAGTCCTCCTTGGACACCGCGGCGGTGTTCCAGTCTTCACAGGCCCCGCGCCTGGAGAAGACACACCAGACTCCGAAGGAGAGCGGGAAGCCCGCAGCTTCCTCTTCTAGCGGGGCCGTCCCTGCTAAGAAAGAGGAGCCGGCAGAGCGGGTCGTCCCGCCTGCCTCCGCAGAGGCGGCCGCAGAGCCAGCCGAGGAGGCAAAACCAGAAGCCTCACCGAAGCCTGCGCCCAAGGCAGCCGAGGCAAAGGAGGAAAGCTCTGTGAGCCCCAGCTCCGAAGCTGGGCAAGAGCAAGCAGCCCCGGCGAGTGGACCCACCGAGGCCACCCCGGAGGCAGAGCCGAAGGCCTTACCAAGAGGCGCTCCGGCAGCGAAGGCCCGACGGTGAAGGCGCCGCCGCCTCACCTTGGGCCACCGCCTCCACTCAAGGAGGAGCCGAGGCCGCACAGCCAGGGCCAGCAGAGCCCGAGGCTGCGGTACCTCCCGCGCCTCTGGGAGGAAGCTCCGGAACAGGAGCAAGAGCCCACCTCACCGGCCAACGACGGTGACCAAGTGGAGACAGAGGAGAGCTCCTCTGAGGGCCAAGGGCCGTGCCAGTTCTTGAACGGACTCAGGCACGCGGCCCGGAACAGGCCAGAGACCCCTTAAGAGGGCAACCCAAGGCTGGCGCAGCAGTACGGAGAAGCCTTGACCTTGCTGGACGAGATCAGCCAGGCTATCTTCGACGCGTCAAGAGATGAGCCAGCAACCGGCTTATCCACCCCCGCAGGGCGACCCCGTGGTCGAGGCCCTGCGCGGGGAAGTGGCAACCCTTAGGGGGTTACTGGAGAGCCAAGCGCAGCAGCTGCAGGCTGCGATTGGCGAGCTTGCGGCCCAAAGACAGCAAACCCAGGGCCTTGCTGCAGCAGCCGCTCCGGCGGCACCCGCCCCTGCGCCTGCGCAGGCGAGCGGTGGAGGGCACTTGCTCAAGAGCATGCGGCTCCCTGCCGCCTTTAAGGGGCGAGACGACTGGGAGCGCTTTGCCTTTCAGGCAGAGTCCTACCTGGCGGTCGTAGACACCAGGTACCCAGCAGAGCTGGAGGTGGCTCGAAAGTGCAAGGTGCCACTCCAGATGACCGCCATGACCGAAGAAGTGCGGACCATGAGTGTCCGCCTCTTCGGCATGCTGGGCAGCTGGACCCAGGACTCCGCCACAGCTGTAAAGCTGGCGCGCGGAGTGAAAGGCCAGAACGGGTTCGAGCTCTGGCGTCTCCTCTGGCAGGAGCACAACCCGGAGAACGAGTCCAAGAACCTCACCTGGAGGCGGACTCTGCTGATGCCGAAATTCCCGCCAAAGGAGAGCGACTTCTCCTTGGCTCTGCAGGAATGGGAGGCAGATGTGGACCGCTATGCCTCCGAGTATGGCGCAGGGCGCGCCCTAGCAGACGAAGATCTGCGGGCAGTGCTGGTGACCGAGAGCCCCAACGCTCTCAGGCAGCACCTCGCTATGCACGCGGCGAGTCTAAGGACTTATGCCGAGGTGAGGGAGGTAGTGGTGAGCTACTTGCAAGCCAAAAGGGTTTGGACCCCGAGTGCGGGCTACGCCGCCTCTTCCCGAAGGGACCCTAACGCCATGGACATTGGCAGAATAGGGGACCACGGAAAAGAAGGGAAGGGCAAAGGCGACCAAAAGGGCAAGAAGGGGGACAAGGACCACAAGAAGGGCAAGGGCGACCACGACAACAAAGGAAAGAAAGGGGACAAGAAGGGGAACCAGCAAGGAGGCAGAGACGGCAAGGAAAGATGCCCAATCTGCTGGAAAACGGGGCACACCGTAAAGGAGTGCTGGTTCAACGCCAAGGGAAAAGGCAAAGGCAACAAAGGCCAGGTGGCCCAAGTGGCCGACGACGCGGCCACAACGTTGTCAACAGCTTCCTTGGCGACTGCGGGCCCCTCCGCGTCCCAAGCTGGTGGAAGCACCGGTGGCTCTGGCGGCAAAGGCCAGGTGCGCCAGGTGCGCGACGACCGCATCTTAGGTGTGCGGTTTGCCCCGCCTCACGACACCGAGCCAGAGGAAGAAAAGATCCTCAAGGTGTCGGGGAGTCTTCTCGTGGACTCCGGGGCGTGTGTGTCCGTCTGCAGGCCCGAGGCGTTTCCCGACCTGCAGCCCGCGGGCCCACCAAGGAGCCTTTACTCGGTGGACAACAGCCGCCTGAAGACCAAGGGCCGTGTCCAGCCGAGCCTCCTCTTAGGGGAGGAGCGCCAGTCCTGCAAGGTCAACTTTGAGGTGACCGAGGACATAGAGGACGAGATCCTCAGCATCAGCCGTGCTGTTGAGGCCGGTGCGGGCATTTGGCTCCACCAAGAGGACAGCCACATTTTGTGGCCAGACGGCGTCCGAGCCTCGATCCTCAAAAGAGGGTCACAGTTCCTCCTACCCTACGAGCGGGAGCTCCCGCCGGGGTCAACAAACTGGGTGGCACCGGTGGCGCCAGAGCCACCAAGCCCAGGCCGAGACCTGGGGCACTACGAGTACATCCCGGAACACGACCTCGAAGCTCGGGAGGTGGAGGACGCGGCGATGGAGGCAGCAGCAGCCGAAGAGGCAGAAGCTGCTGAAGAGGAAGAGGGCGCGGGTAACCCCGCCCCTCTCGAGGAGCAGGCTGAGCAGCCTGACTCAAGGCCACGCGGCCTAAGGGCACCGCGCAACCCCACGGCGCAAGAACGCGCCGAGCACGAGCTCACTCACACGCCCTACCAGGCGTGGTGCGAGAAGTGCGTGGAGGGAAAGGCGCGCGAGGACCCGCACCGCCGCCGTGAGCCCGCTGATGATGCCACTTGTCACCATGGATTATCAGTTCTACAGCCGGGACGGGAAAGAAGTTGAGGAAGAAGCGTCGCTTGCCACGGTGCTGAACCTCACAGACAGAGCCACTGGCTGGACTCTGTCAATTCCCGTGGCGCACAAAGGGCACAGATACGCGGCCTACGCCGCGGGGCTTGTGGAGCAGTTCGTGGATCGCCTGGGGTACGACAAGTTCACCCTGCAGGCCGACCAAGAGAATGCTCTAGCCTCTGTGGCCCGTGCGGTCCACCGCCGGCTGGGAGCTGCTAGGGTGCGTCTTCGGGACGCCCCTCGCGGGTCGCACCAAAGCCAAGGATCCGTAGAGGGAAGAAACGCACATCTAGCAGGCGAGGTTCGCACTTGGCTCTCGCGGCTAAGAGCGGACTACCCCGCCTTAGAGTGGGACACTTCGTCCAACCTGTTCCCGTGGCTGGTCAGGCACGTCGCCTGGTTGCAAGCCCGTTTCGGGACTAAGTCAACGGACGGGGTGACACCATATCGGGCAGCCACCGGCACCGACTATGGTGGAGCACTTTGCTCCTTTGGGGAAACCGTGCTAGCCAAGCTCCCAAGGCCCGGGAACAAAGCGCAAGTGCGCTGGGTCAAAGGGGTCTGGACTGGCAAGCTGGAGCGCGACGACTCCCACGTGGTGCTAACCGAAGCGGGCGCACTCAACGTGAGGAGCGTTAGGCGACTCCCGCCGGCAGCCGTTCTCAAAGCGTGCGGCCTGCCTTGGAACACCAGATTTGGCCGCGCAGCGCCAGCCGATGATGGTGCCCATCCCTTTGGCCACGCCGGCCGAGGAGGTGGAGCGGCTAGAACCGCCCGGTGAGCCCTGGCTCTTTCACGACGACGAGGCCCTCCCAGTGGAAGGGGCCGAGCAGGCCAGCAGGCTACCGGACGCCAGCCCCACCGAGGAGCTGGCTAACGCCGACATACCGGACTCAGCAGCCGCCTGCAGCTAAGAGCCGCACGGAGCCCAAGAAGGCACCGCGGCTAGGGGCGCTCACTGAGCGCGAGGTGTGGCAGCACATCGCTGCCTTAGCCCCCGCCGCTCACCAACCGCCAGGGCGAGCGGGACGCGTGGGTTGGGCAGGTGACAGACCTGCTAGACCGCATGCTCGACCCCAAGCAGGTCGAGCAGGCACGCAAGGAGCAGCTGAGAAAGCTGTGGGACCGAGGCGCTTTCACGCCCGTGCTGCGGTCGGAAGTACCGCGCGGGGCGCAGCAAAGTGGGTCGACAAGTGCGACAAAGGGCGGTACAAGTCCAGATGTACATGCGCCGATGTCAAGGCCCGCTACAGCCCAGAGCAAGAAGCTGGCATGGACGTTTTCGTCCCAACGCCAACGCCCGAGAGTCACTCCCTTTTGGAAGTAGCAGCGCTACACAATGAAGGGTGGGTCACTAGGTCTTTGGATATAGTGGCAGCCTTTTTGATCGGGAGGGACCGCGGTGCGGCGGAAGGCTGCCCGGTCTATATGCATGCGCCCGTGGAGTGGCGCGAGCTCTTCGACCAGTGGGTCTTGGAGCAACCTGCAAAGGACCAACAGTGGTACCGAGACCACTTCCGGGACTTTGTGTTCAGGGTGGACGGCAACCTTTACGGCCGTAGAACGGCCGGGTCCGTCTACAGGGACGAGCTGGAGGAAGTCTTGACTGGCAAGCTCAGCAAGGAATACGACTTCCAGCGAGGCGTGAAGGGCCCGTGCGTGTTCCTAGACCGCCGGTCCGGCTTGATCCTTCTCCACCATATCGACGACATTCGTGTCGCCGGGCCCAAGGCCGCAGTGCTGAAGTTCACCGAGGTGGATCTCCCGGCACACTGCGAGATAACGGTGGGAGAACTGGAGGAGCCGGGCACAGCGGTGGAGGTCCTCGGAAGGACCAAGTGCGCACTGAGGACTCGATCCTCACGCTGCCCGACAGCAAGCACGCAGAGAATGTGTGCGAGCAGCTCGGCATAGGACCCAAAGACAAAGGGGTCGTGCCGAGCAAGCCTCTGGACCTGTCAAGGTCCGAGGAACTCTGCGGGAGACTCCGCGAGGTTCCGCAGTGCCGTCGGTAGTGCCATCTACCTGTCGGCAGACCGGCGTGACATACAGTTCGCCGTGAAAGAGCTGGCACGCAGAATGCAAAACCCACGCATCTGCGATTGGCTCGCTGCGGAAACCCTCGCGCGATACCTGCGGGCAACCCCGCGGTTTGGAAGAGTGGTTGTGCTGGACCCGGCGTCCAAGAGCACAGCCCTTCTGAACCTGGAGGTCTACTCAGACTCCGACTGGGCGGGGTGCCCAGAGACAAGACGCGGAGATCCGAGGCGTGTCGCGAGCAGCAAGGGAGGCCGTCTTCCTACGAGAACTTGCGGAGAAAGACTTCGCCCTGGCCTGCGGCTTGCCGCGGCTCTGGGCGGACTCCGCAGCTTCGATCGGAGCCGCCAAGCGGATAGGCCCAGGGTCTAAACTTAGACACCTGGAAGTCGCTGAATTTTTCGTCCAAGGCGCGCTCAGAGCCAAACTTCTCGAACTGAGAAAAGTTAAGGGAACCGAGAATCCGGCAAACTTCGCCACCAAGCACGCGAAGACTGGACCGGAGGTGCGGCAATCCCTGCCCTCCATGGGCATGGTGGACCTCGACGCAGTCGCAGGTGCCGCCGAGGCTCTTGCCCAAAAGGGCACGATCAAGACAATCCAGGCAAGCCCCTGGAAAATGAGTCCGCCGACCAAGCTTCCGAGCTCGGCGCTCATGGCCACAATTGTGGCACTGCAGGTTCGACCTGCAAAGGCCCAAGGGCACGACTTCGCTGAGCTGGTGCTCGGCTTCGCGGCCCTAGGCTTCCTGGCCTTCTTGTGGATGTTTTGCAGGTGCAGACACGAAAGGCAGGAGCCTGAGCCCGAGGCGGTATGTGTGCTTGCTCACGAGTGTTTGGTAATGTTTTGCATGCTTGCTGTATTTCATGACATTCCATGTTCATTGCAGCAAGCAGGCTCGCAGCTGCCAGCTCGCCTGCATCGCAGGCAAAAATTTTGTAGGCTTAACAGGCCTTTCTTTGTAAGCCCTCTAGAACAGCTCTGGAGGCCTCCAATCTGTGTGGAGTTTAGCTTCACTACATTCCTCTCCCGCTCGCGATAGGGGGAGGAGTGCATGGTTTTCAGGCCAGCTGATTTTGCGGTGCTCTGTTGCATTTATTGCTTCAATTGCATTATGGAACAGTCAGTGCCTGTGAATGATTCGTCAGTGCCTGAGTATGCTGATGATTCTGCATTGACCAATGACATGGCTGATCTTGATCAATCTCGCTGCATTGTCAAACGGTTCCAGAAGCGGACCTCGTCTCAGCAGGATGTTTCCACACTGGCCGGGGCCTCTCCTTCGTCAGAGGTTCTTGCATCTGTGGTTTCATCCTTTCAGGGCGGTCAGGATGAGTGCCTTCCACCTCCATCTTTAGCTGTGTCAGACAGTGATGAGCCGGTTGTGATTTCTTTTTCTGCTGCATTGGACCTGGCTGCTAATAGCGAGGAACCCGAGACGCCTGTCCCCCTTGACAACCACACAGGCGAGTCACGACCAGAGTCGCCAGTTTACGACCCGGACTATGAGTTGGTAGATCCATTGGATGTTTCCCTGGAACTTTCTGCTTTAGCTGATAAATCCGGTTCTTCTTCGTGGGGGATGGTCTCGCCAGCGCCTGAGACCACACCTGCATCTGGGGCACCGGAAGCTTTGCATTTCTCTCCTCTTCGTGTGGGGCGACTGTCTTTTGAGAATGCTGACAGGGAAATTACGGATCCTTTGTTGCCGGCCTTTTCTCAGCCGGCTTTTGCGCTTTGTCCAGCTTCTTTGGACATCCCACCGAAGACTGCTCCATTGGCTCGCCCAGTTCATCTGAGTGAACCCAAGGGCCGGGCTATGAGTTTGCATTCTGCAGTGGCGAGGTCGAGTGAGTCGGCCCGATCTCGGCCGGCTTTTGCACTCAGGGCCTCCCTGGGGATACCTAAGGCGGTGCCCAAGCCTCGGCCGGTTCCCTCGGCTCGTGGAGCTTATGCATCATACCCTTCCGAGCGGTTGCACTCTGCTGCCCAGGAATCGGGGGCGGTCTCTAAGAGCTCGCCTACCCCTCAGCACACTGTCTTTTCGTGGTCTCCGACCGTGAACCCAGGTACTTCATCTCACAAGTATCAGGCCACTGCTCCTGGCGCCAAGCGGAGTATCGAGCTTATTCATTCTGGAGAGCCCACTGACAGATCTAAAGTGGTCAAGCAGACTGATATTCATTCAAAGCAATGGGCACGTGCATTACACATGTGGGGTGAACTTTGTGCTTTTGCATTGCCGTGTTCTACATTACTTCGTGATGTGTTCGGCAGCCCTAACAAAGGTGCTTTATTAGAGCAATTGCTCCGTCGAGTGTCGGACACGACAGCGGTGAGATACATTGCTGTTGTCTGGCAGCTGTTGCATACGGTCACAGATCTTGGCTTTGACATTGCATTGCTGACACAGGTGCAGTTAATTGATGCGATCCATACACTCCAATTGTCCCGTCGGCATCATTCGTCGGTACATTCCATTAACGTCCTCAAGGCGGTGCGATGGTTTTCATCAACGGTTCGCCCGACTGGCTTCCCCAACCTATATGATGGTTTGTTTCATGCCCGGTCTTGGCAGTCCCAAACTGCATCCAAAGAGGCATTGCCTCTTCCACTTGCTTTCATGCTTTGGCTGGAAACACAAATCGTGTTTGGACGGTTTACACTTGAGGAGACTGCTTTTGCGGGCAGTGTTCTGACTTGCATTTGGTGCAGTCTGCGATTTGGCGACAGCCAACACATCCAGTTATCGGATTTGTACATTGACTTCGACAGTTTCAGAGGTGCATCCTACCGCACAAAGACACAGAAGTACATGGCCTTCGGCTGCCTTCATTCAGGTCTGCTGAGGTTGCCTCGCCAGCATTGCTGGCTCATTCATTGGTTACTCTCGGTTGAGACACTGCTGGATCTCCAGCCCGGAGCCCAATCCATTCCGGACTACATTTTCTTTATGATAGAGGCGGGTTGCATCAGACCTTTGACTTATGCAGAGTGCCTCTCGAAGCTCAGGGCTTTGCTTTGCATGTGGAATCAGCTTCCACCTGGACAAGAACTACAATACACTCTACATTCCATGAAAGTTACATTGCTTGCATTCTTTAGGCAGCTTAACATGCCTCTTGAAGCCAGGCATCTTCAGGGCCACCACAAACATTCTGCATCGTGTGCATTATATGGGCGGGACGACGTGTCCCCCCTCCTTATCACTCAGGACGGCTTCATTGATAAGGTCCGGACAGGCTGGAAGTCGCGAACCCCGCTGATGCGTGGTGTTTCGTTCATGCCCTGCGAACCCGAGCTTCATTGGCCCTCCGATTTGGGGGCACTTTTACATGTTTCAGTCCCGACTTTCTTCAGGTTGGATACATTGCCAGGCTCATCGACGACACTATCGGATGTGCACTTAGCTGCACCTCCTCCTCCGGTAAAGCTCGCATTGCCTTTGTCTTCCACCCGTGAGGAGGTTCCTGATGAGGCTGAGACCTCCTCATCTGAGGACGATCTTGGCCAGGCGGAGGAGATTGCATTTCTTAGTGCAACCACCAGCAACATCATACATGCTTGCATTGAAGGCCGTCCGGCTTGCGGCTGCCGGGGCACTTTTCACTTGGTCTCTCACCCACCTGAGGGATCACGTTTTTGCAAGTCCAAAGCTTGCATTTCTATTCTCACGAACCTTTCGTGATCTTGTCGGGCGCCTGACAAACAGATTGCATCCCTTCTTGCACTTGCGATTGTGAGGGATTTCGACTCACCTGATGCGACGGGTTGGTCGGCAAGTGCGGGCATTTGCATTTGTACACCGCTGCAGCAGAGTGTTCAGCTGCAAGGTCCATTCCTTGCTCGGACAAAAACGATCTGCATTCCCGCCAGAGAACAAAAGGAGCGAGTGTTGAGCGACTGCATCAATTCCATTTATATATTCCTTTTGAATATTTCCTTTCGCTTTATATGTATTTCCATTACATATAAAGCTGCAAATAGGAAGCAGCTGCGAATACATTAACCGAACTGAAGTGGAGCACCACGCCGAGCGTGCCGAGGAGCCGCCGCGTGCAGCCCCAAGGGCCACAGAGGTCTGGCTAAGGCCAGAAGCGCCAGAAGAGGCGCAAGCAGAAGCGCCGAACCAGGCGCAGGCAGAAGCGCCGAACCAGGCGCAAGCACAAGGAGGTGGGCAGCAGCCCAGGGGGGCTCAAGAGCCAGAGCCTGAGGGCGAGCGGACCCCGGGTCCGCCCCCTGCGGCACACGTGCCACCACCACCGCCGCCCGCAGCACCAAGGGCGGCGCTGGCGTAGGGGACCGGAACCCCTTTCCGGGGACGACGAGCATCTCCACGAGACAGCCTGTGGTGACAGGATCCACCTGTTCACCAACTGCAACGGGTTGAGCTCCGTCCCACGGGATCAAATCCTGATCGGCTTTCGCTGCCATTGCGCAGCAGATCCCCAGAACTCGGAGTACCTTTGGACCGGGTTCTCCTTTCAGGTGGCCACCGGCCGCGTTGTGCGCCGGTACCACGGCCAACAAAGAGGTTGCCCATTCATGGAAGGGGCAACGATCAGGCATCCAGTGTGCCTGCACTGCCGCAACGGGCACCAAAGCACTAGGCAGTGCGGTAAACAACTCCCGCCTTTGGGTGCCTCCGCCTTAGAGGCCCCTAGCGGGTAGCACCGCAGGGCGAGCCTTTCGGCTGCCAGCCCTGTGCGCGGGACGCTCCGCCCTACCAGGGGCGTCTCACCCTCCGACTGCGGGATGCCCCGCGGGAGGCTTACTCTCAAACCCCACCTCTAAGGGGGGTGCGAGATTTTTGTAGGCTACACTAGGAAAACCTAGGTAGGTAGCTTCAGTGTAGAGAGTGAGGGTTTGAGCCAAACGTGCTTTACTGACTTCTGCAGCCCTCTTTTCAGAGTGACAAAATAGTGAGCCCAATACGCGACCCTACCTCCGCGCAGTGGCGTGCGGTTCTTTTCGTAATGGTCATGTGGGTGCGCGTGTCGCACAGACAAGAGTGCAGGCAATGGTTTCTTTCAAGTTTCAACAGGCTCGGCCCTTGATGGGATTGGTTGTCGGACCGATCACGGGAGGGTCGCGCAATTATTTACATGAAGCACTTTCCAAGACACTGCACATTGGTGGCCTTGCGTTTGACGTATCTAAGCCCCGAACGATTTGCTTCAGCATGTAAACAAACTACAGTTGGCCCAAGCGCGACTTTGTAGTCCGGTTGGCACCTCGTCGAGCTGGGTTCGCCATGGCCGCGAACTCAGTGCAGCAAAGGCTCCCCCCTCATATGTACATTGATGCTCTCAGAGTCTGGGCCCTGGCCATGCGGCTTCGTCATTTGCATTCCGTAGGCTGTCCCTAAGTGCGCCTCTGCGTCTGGAACCAAAAGCAAACGTGTGAAAACGTGCGGACGGCCCTCGTTTGCAATGCCCGAAGCTTTAGAGCCTCCAAGGACTCCTCCAGAGCGCTCGTGCGATCCGAGGCCGTTGCCTCAGAGATCGAGGAAGGTCAACTTACCTTGGTTAGTAGGGAATGGAAGAATGGTAGCATCAGTAGTTATAATTGTACCCCATTCCTCCATTCCCTACTAACCCAAGGTAAGTCAAAGGATCAACGGTGCCAGGGGATTTTAAGTCGGCTCATACGATTGGGCTGCAACGGTGAAGTGTGCGAATTGGGATGAGCGGGGTTCAGCTTTGTATAGATCATTAGATCATTTTCTTACTATTATTGCATATCATTGCTATATCCTTTAATCATGTTGTAGTATATATACGTATAACATTGGACCGAACACACTCTGGTGCGTTCACCGGCCAAGGACGACGACGGCAGCGGGCAAGTTCTGCTAACGCCCTTTGGCGATTCTAGGGGTTTGTGTCTTATACCCTAAGCCGTAAACCCTAAAGCCTAAAGCCTATACTTTAAACGCTTAGCTTTACATCCTCAACCCAAAACCCTAAACCCAAGTTGACGTTCTTTTTTGACCGAGGCTGAGACGGATCTTCTGTTTGTCTCAGTTTGGTTCGCGTAACCTTCCGAATTCCCGAGCCAGAGCCTGATTCCGCCACTCTTTGTTTGTCGATCCCTGTACCGGGACCTACTCTCATGTTCCTAGTTTAGGGTTGTGGGCAAACGAAGAGTAGGCTTCAACAGGCTTTCGTTTTCAGAGGGCAAGACCAAGGGTGTCCTTCGTGTGTTGGTCGGGCACTCTCAATGCTAAGCGCGAAATCCGCGAGACTGCTTGTGTGCAACTCCGGTCTATACAGCAAAGAACTGGAGCAGAGGCTTCTGTGCACCTTCGTCCGTCGACCTTTAGCTGTCTGCGCTTGAAACTCAAACCGAGGTTGTATATGTATATTCAAGCTTTAAAACGAATATTTTCCCATATGTATACGTAGACGTATATGTATATGTAGCTGTAGACATATACATACATATATATATATATATGTTTACGGGTACATGTATACATGTATACATGTATACATGTATACATGTATACATGTATACATGTATACATGTATATGTATATGTATATGTATATGTATACACGTATATATATATATATATATATACATACATGTTTATGTCTATGTATATACATCATATGTATGTATACTATGACATAATTTACTTTGTTAAAGTATATCATGATATAACATAGTATACTATAATATGATATGATATAGTAATAAATCATTTGTATATACATACATGCAGACATAGTCACAATACGTGTATATATGTATGTTTGGATGCATGGAAGGATGGATGTTATATACATATAGATACATACTTATGTAGATGTATATACACACATCGTTATAGGGGACACGCCAAGGCCCAGAGATGACGACAAATTCTCTGCGGGGCCTACCCTTCCCAGCACCGCGCGCTGCGGAGGGTCACGGGTGGCCTGTGTGGGCGGAGCGCCCCTGGGACTGCAGCTTCATACTTGAAGGTTCATGGGTGGTTCTAAATGGCGTTGTAAGACCAGTGCTTCGTAGAAGTCGGGGGAGCTTCTGATCCTACGGGTTGTTCGGGTTCAGATGCAAGCAGACGGCCTCAAAGCTCTCTGGGATTGATACCAAGGTCCCTCGCAAAAGCTTCGAAGTTGAGAGGTTTGTTGTGCATATGAAGTGAGTTTGGACACAAGCGAGGTGACTGGCCATGTAGTTTCCTATATCCGAGTACGTGTATGTGTAGCTTTACTGATATCTACCCTAAACCTGAAACCCTGAACCCTAAACCCTAAAACACTAAACCTTACGACCCTGAACTCCTAAAATCCTAGGCTTCTTGCCACGGCGTTCTTCCTGGGGCTGGTCAATGCGGTTACCCGGCAGAAGGTCTCCGAGCCATGGCACCCAGAGAGCTTTAATTAGCCCTTGAAAGCAGAAAGCCCACCTGCGTAGACAGGTTCCCGGGAATCGGAACCTTCGAAGTGCTTTGTTCAGGCGGAGGCTTTAGGGTGAGTCAAAGGCCCAAAATAAGAGTCCTGATAGAAGGGGTCCTGAGTCCTACCGTCATCCCACGTTTTCAGGTCTCCAACTGAGACCGTCAGGCTCAGGGGTAGAGCTTTGATGTTGCAGAGGCGGGGTCGAGGACTTGGTGAGCTTCAAGTAGTAACGAAGTATATCACATATGAGTAAGATGTACAGTATGAGTATTGGTAAGAGTCGTACTAGTACTCGTGTGAGTATTAGGTACTGGTAGTACTGGTGTTAGTGTTAGTATTGGGATTAGTACTTGTATTGGTATTGGTTTTAGTAAAGTGTTCACAACCAAATCTTTCGAGCAAGCGGTACTTATGGAGTTGGCGATTAGCTCAAACGCTCGGTTGGTTTCGGCAACCCTCGAACCCCTATTGTTATCAAAGCTCATTCGCATTCCCTCCACTCAACATAAAAAAAGCTGCTTCATGAATCCAAATACGGCGACCCCAACTCTCAACACAACAGCAGTGATAGCAGTCGTAAGCATGAATGCTACGAAGGTTCGGCTTCTCGTGCTCGGCGATATGGATTTACGGTTCAAAGGCTTCGAGGGATTGCCTGCGATTTCAGGACCCTGGACTCAGCCTGGGTCGAGAGTTGCAGGATTTTCTAATGGCGTGGTTTGCAGACTCGCTGAAACAACTCGCAGCAAAACGGATTACTGTAGGTTGAGTCTCAGTCTCTGAGGCTTCCAAGGAAACAATTCAACCCCTGATTGAGTGATGGATGGATGGATGGATGGGTTGATTGATTGACTCACTGACTGAATGACTGATTGATTGATAGATTGATTGATTGATCGGGCCCTGGGTCTTGCACTGGGATCGCAGTTGCAGGCAGTTTTGAGAATTCTCGGTCTGGGGCATCCTCAGGAGATGCCGATACCTCAACCCCTAGGCTTTGCGGCTAAGGTGCCGGAATTCCGGGTCTAATAAGGGCTCCCTGAACCCTAAATCCGGCTTCAAGCGTTGACATCCGAGGCGACGCACGGCCACTTCTTCAGCTCCACCTCCTCCGCAGCCGGCAGTGTTATGCTGGCGGTGCGCTGTCTGAAGTCCCCTACAGCCTAAACTGGACACTGAGCCTGAACCCGAAGCCAGAAGCCCTCTAGAAGCCCTGAACCTCAAGCTCTGTGAACCCTAAACCCTGCACCCTAATCCGGTTTTGGGGGCTTCCCTGGGTGTCTTGGGTGCACCTCCTGAGGCCCAAACTCGCTCAAATCCCCAACACCCGGGACATTGAAACACCTGGCGGATTGTACTACCATAATAGTCGGACATATGCAACAGAATTTCAACATACACGTCTGCATAGATACATACAAGATAAGCATATATATATATATATATATATATATATATATATATATGTATGTATGTATGTATGTATATGTATGTATGTATATGTATGTATGTATGTATGTATGTATGTATGTATGTATGCATGTATGTACGTATGTATGCATAACTGCAGGTATATGCACACACACATGCATACACATGTGCAGGTGCTCAGGTGCATGCATAGATACCGACATAGAGCATTCAACACAATTTGCAGTTGATGCTTCTGCGGGTGGTTTTTTGTGGAGACTCGGCCCGTAAGCCCTCAACAGCTGAGTCTCCTCAGTCTCCTCGTAACGTCAGGCGGATGTGGACTCCGGCAAAGCCAGCGAGAGCCTACGCCAGCAAGACATAATGATGTAATGACATGCATGGATACCGTAAGACAGATAGACATCAGCACTGGCGAGAAGCTAGAGCTGAACCTACGCAGCCCATGAAAGCCGGGGC